TGTCACCATTTATATACCCACCATGGGTAAGTCTAAGACCAGAAGCTCGACCAGAAGGTCCCGCAGAAACGTGCTCATCTTTTTGGCTCAAGTCTGGTACTCTCTTCGGTCCCAAGCTAATCGATGCACCCCTCGAAACATAGGAAAATCCACGAACCCCTCATTTTATCTGTTAAACTTTCATAGCGAATCATAGCGAATCATAGCGAATCAAATAGTGAACTACTAGAATTTCTACAAGAATGGGGTACGCTTATAGATGTACTTGGGGTCAATAGGCTAGTCAAGTAGTGAGCCTATTTAAAATCGATAGTTTCCACCGGTTGGCTCGCCGGTTGGTACTGCCATCCATTGCTATCGAAAATTGTTCCATATGGTAGACGAACAAAAGCAGTAGCGCTCGCTGTTGTTTTTGTAATTACGTCCAATCTATGGGCACCCCAAGGGGGTAAGTCACTCTGACACCTTGTGTCTGTGCTGATTGTGTTTCTTCTGTGTTTCTGGATGTTGGAAAGCGTGTCAACGTAGTTGTCAAAACGTTGAGTGAAAAATAAAGTTTTCTGGCAACCATGCGTTCACTGTTGATTGGAGAAAGGATAACAATAAACAATAAATTTTTGGCCAAACGTGCTGCGATACGGATGAACGTGAGTCATGGTGGACCGAACGGAACAACTGACAGTGTTTGGACAGGACAAAAATTTATAATGGTTGGGCCACCACCTCGGCCCAACTACGCAGCAAAAAAAAATCTAATATCGATCAATGTAATTCAAGCTGATGTATGAAATAATGATGTAATCTAGGATGTAATAGCAAAAAGCAGATACAATCTTACATCAATGGATGTAATTTTGTTCCCAAAATCGATGTACATCGTACAACGTTATATTACACAATCGATGGATTGACCTGGTTGCAGCAGTTTGGATGTACTATTCAACATCTTTTTTTGCTGTGCAACGAATTCGATTCGTTAGTTGGGTCTGACAGAAGGCTAAAATTTGTTCCGTAGAATGCTTATCCTTTGTTGCGGTTAAGAAGATTTAATAAAAAAAAAACAATTTGGATTGAAGCAAGTTCTAGGGGAAGGACAGGTCCAAGTAACAGCATCAATATCGATGGTGGAAATATTAAATATTTTAATATGTGTGATATTTGTGAATCTTATACTTAGTCTGACAGTTGTTTTTTTGTTTTTGACTATTTTTGGTTTGAAGTGTACATTTGACATTCGTTTAGTAAAAAATGGATTTCACACCAGATGCAAGTCATTCTTTGATGATCTGCTGGCCACCGCCACCAAAATCCGCTCCTTGTTCTAAAAAATTCGGCATTATTTGTTAGCTGATCTCAGTGCAAATAATCGGTCGCACTTATAGTCATTAATTTCCACGAATTCTTTATCGTCTGCGAATCAATGTGCTGTCCTCCGATGAAACGGGAATCGACTGACTACGCCTCCCCTGTAAACGGAGTCCCAGAGTGATGGTTCCGTGGTCGTATTACACTCGATTTGCCATGAGCCTGCAACTGGCAAAATTTGCTGCTGGGGGAACGTCCAGTACCGTTTTTATCATGAAAAGTCGAAGTCGAAATCGATCAGAGTTATCGAAAACGAAAATCTAGGCAAAAATGAAAGCTGCAGTAAACATAAACAACAACGGTGAAACGTCATTGAGTGTATGCGTTAAAGTTACACTGTTTTTTTTACTTTGAAGCTGTCCGCTTGACAGTTAATATCATTAATATTTGTACTAAAAATTATAATAATTACCAATTTGAGCAATTTTTACACCAAATATTACTGCAGATCAAGTTGTACTTCCCCTATAGGGCAAGTTGCTTTAAATTGAGTGGAAAAAGCAAAATTCTGGTGTGCTTAATATGTGTTTTGAATTTCTTGTGGAATTTCAAATGAAACTCAAATGTTGCGAACAAACACCATATGTTTACATTCATTACATTGAATGTGCAGTTCAAAACACATTTGCTTACCTCTAGGAGGAATTTATGGTTGATTGTCAAATCTACTTTGACGTAAGATTTTGACATCCAGATACTTTTTAATTGAGTCATGGCCCAACTAGCGAACACCCAACTAACGAGCACCCCAACTAACGAGCCCCCAACGAGCGAATCTTCGCTGTACAGACGATAAGATATCGATAAGGTGTCCACGATGAAATTGCCACACTATGAAATTGCTCTAACTTTTTAACCGTTATGTAGAATTTAATGAAAATTTGGGTGGATTTAGTTCATAGTGCATTATTTACATCCTGCAAGTTTTAAAGTCCTGTGATCAAAACTCGTGGAAATGGAGTCGAAAGAACAGCTCGTGCGTGATAAAATCTTGCGCATTCATCACGAGAACAAGGATCTCTCGCATCGTTCCATCGCTGAAACGTTGGGAATCGCGAATTCCACGGTGTCGCGAGTGGTTAAGCGGTTTGTGGAACGGTTGACCACCGATCGGAAGCCCAGAAGTGAAGGAAAAAGTATTCCGTACAACACCAAAAATCACAACCGCGTAGTTGGGGCCTTCAACCGAAATCCGAACGCCTCCGTTAGGGATGTGGCTAAGAAGCTGCACCTAGGCCAAAACTAAGGCTCAAGGTACAAAAGGCCCCTAATCGCGACGAGAAGCAGAACAAGTCCGCCAAAACCCGTGCCAGGAAGTTGTACCTCAACATGCTGACGAAAGTTGAATGCTGCATCATGGACGACGAAACATATGTGAAGGCCGACTTCAAACAGATCCCCGGCAACCTGTTTTTCACGGCCAAGGATAAGTTCAGCGTTCCGGAGCATGTCCGCACTCAGAAGATGTCCAAATTTGCGAAGAAATTCCTGGTTTGGCAAGCCATCTGCGGGAAGCGGAATGCACCTTTCGTGACCCAGGACACGATGAACGGACAGGTGTACATAAAAGAGTGCCTCCAGAAGCGGCTGCTTCCTCTCCTGAAGGCCCACAACGTCCCAACAATCTTCTGGCCGGATTTGGCCTCATGCCACTACTCCAAGGACGTGCTGAAGTGGTATGCGGACAATAAGGTCAATTTCGTGCCGAAAATTTTCAACCCTCCCAACACTCCGGAGCTCCGCCCCATCGAGAAATACTGGGCGATTATGAAGCAGCACCTTCTTAAACGACCTAAGGTAGTGAAGACAGTCGAGGAACTGAAGAAAGTATGGGTTTACATGCAAAAAACGGTTGATTCACAGGTTGTGCAGAATCTTATGGCCGGGGTTAAGGCCAAGGTGCGGGCATTTGCGTATGGACTGTAAATAAAATACGAGTAAAATGGTAAAATGAAGTTTAATATTTATTTCTCAATCCCTGAAAATTTTATGGCAATCGGATGAAAACTCGAATTTTGCGAATCAATTTTGTGTGTGGCAATTTCATCGTGGACACCCTTTATTCAGTACGGAATATAAGATCGAAGGAAAACAAATCAAGGAAAAAAGAAAATGTTCCCAATTGCGGCTGCGGGAGTCCCGAGTCCGTGTCTCTACCAAATATCTGTAGAATCCTACCGATTGCTGCAGGATAAACAAAAACGAAAATGGCATCACACGAATGTAAACATTCTTGGCTGTAGGCAGTGCTGCTAGAAATTATTGAAAAAATTGTTCTCTTGGTGGTTGAAGGTAAAGCCCTACAGTAAAAGCATAGAGGTAACTCCAAGACCAGAAAATGAGCTCAGCTTTTTGGCTCAGCTCTGGTACTATCTTCGGTCCCAAGCTAACCGATGCACCTCTCGAAACATAGGAAAATCCACGAACTCCTCATTTTGTCTGTCAAACTTTCATAGCTGATCAAAACAAACATAGTGTAGTACTGCAATCTATACTAGAATGGGGTACGTTAATCGATTTGCTTGGGACCAATAGGCTAGTCAAGTACACTCAAATTAAATGACTGATATTTTTCATGTGCAGGGGGCGACCCCGGCGTAGTGGTTAACATCCATGCCTCTCACCCCGCATAAACGCGAACCATCACATGACCTTACCGATAATGGTTATAAATTGTTTATAATCCCTGCTAAACTTCAACTGAAATGGTTATGGAACTTTACATGAACGTTTGTGTGATAAAGTTTTAACCTTATGTATTATGGTTTTTTGGAAGCGGACCTTACAAATAATGGGTTGTTAAGAACCATTACCATTCCAAATTCTTGTTTTCTCCATACATTATCGGAAAGAGAACTATATTAGAACGTTTTTACTTATGGTTTGAGAACATTAATGGTTATGGTTATGGTAGTCAGTAAGGTCCATTAATGGTTTTGTATTATCGCTCAACTTTACGTGAAATATATCGTGAATTGGTAATCAGTAATTTGCAGGCAACCAATTCGCGATATATTCCACATAAAGTTGATCGATGTTACAAAACCATTCATGGACCTTACTGCTTACCATAACCATTACCATTAATGTTCTCAAACCATAAGTTAAAAGGTTTTAGTATAGTTTTCTTTGCGAAAATGTATGGAGAAAACAAGAATTTTGAATGGTAATGGTTCTTAACAACCCATTACTTGTAAGGTCCACTTCCAAAAAACTATAATACTTAAGGTTAAAATTTTATCATTAAACGTTCATGTAAAGTTCCATAACCATTTCAGTTGAAGTTTAGCAGGGATTATAAACAATTTATAACCATTTTAGGTAAGGTCAATTTATGGTTCTCGCTTATGCGGGACGCCAAAGTCACGAGTTCAAGGACATAATATGATATCAGTACTAACATTTGAAAACGGCGCAAAAGCCATTTGTAAACAAATGGTTTGTGGGCCCTTTACTCGCTACTCGAAGTACACCCACGCAACACAACAGCTACATCGGGTAGGGGAAATCTTAAATATTATGCTAAATGGACTCCAGCAGTTCCTCATCTTTCTCATGGTTCTCAAGTCGGTGGCATTAGATCATTTTCGGCAGTAATCCGCCAGACGTCAAAACGTGACAGTTCCTTTGACTACTGCTGTCAAATATAGGAAGAAAAAAAATAATCGCTTATTTTCCGTCGGTTCCGCAAGTTTCGTACGAAAAATCCTCGTTTTGTCGAAAATGTCCGGCCTGATCCGGTTGAACAGCAGCGCCCTGTTGGTGCGTAATCTGATCCAACATTCGGCCCGCAACGCCCGGCTCATTTCCTCATCCCAAAAGAATCGCGATGCGGCCACCGTGGACCTGAGCAAGAAGGCTGCAGCGAAACCCGCCGAACCTGCCGCCGCCGCTGCTGCCACCAACAAGAATTGGGTAAGCTATGGATTCGATTACAAAACTGAAAAGGAAGATCAGAATTCGATGCACTCGACGTTCCTGTTCACCGTTACCTTCTGCCTGGTGCTGGGAACGTTCTACTGGGCATACCTGCCGGACCCACAGCTGCAGGACTGGGCCCAGCGGGAGGCATATCTGGAGTTGAGACGTCGCGAAGCTGCCGGATTGGAACCCATCAGCAAGGATTTCGTCGATCCTTCCCAGATCGTCCTGCCGTCCGACGAGGAGCTGGGCAAAACCGCGATCATTATCTAAGAGGCGCAAATGTGGTTGAGAGTGCGGATTTTTATTTTTCTTCTGCCCGTTTTGCCGTCGACCGAGGATTACATAACTAATGCCCGCAAGCAGCAGGGTAACCAAAACATCATCAGTGCTTGTATATACTAAGTTCAATAGAATATATTGCGGCAACGTAACGACGCCTGCGAGTGCGACATACTGGCCGAAGGTAGCAGAGCGATTAATGATTGGTTCAATAAAAAAAAATGATTAGGATTTCCGAAATGAGGTAACTATTGCTTTCTATGATGTTGTTCAGATTTTAGGCAAGATGCTGGTACGTGCTTCACAATGGTAAACAACAAAATGTTGATGACAGCCTTGTAGAGCGGAATGTTTGCTATAAGTGCATTTTGTGGATTGTGTAAATCTTTAATCGTATTCATGAGTCCTCAACCATGAAATTACATGATCACATACAATCTACTAAAAATATATAGGAGTGACGGAACAGATCGATTTATCAACGTTGAACAAATTGCAGCAAATTGTTCGAAATTATTTTTTTGATGTATAAATTTCAAAACGTGTTTTGAAGAAACATTGAAGCTTTTTGCGGATAATCAACGAGGTTATTCGGCTGATAAATTGACGACAGCATTTTTTTTAAATTAGTTAATTTAAAAATAAGTTAACTTAAATTAATTAATTAAAAAGGTCAAAGATACATTTACAAATTGTGGGATTAAAAAACTCAGAAGTTTAATTGTTCCACGTGACTACTCATTATGCTAAATAAAATTCCCTGAGTTTTCCAGGCTTCCAGGAGGACATCAATGGAAAATTTCCAGATTATCAAAGAAACCTTTACTTAAAATACGTGGAAAAATATGCTATTCGAATATTTCACATAGTTTTGAATCTTGAATGGTTCTGATAGTCCAGAATCTTGGATACTTTTCCAAGCTCGGAATATTGGTCTGGTGACTCACATTTTATAAGCTTCGAATGTAAAAAAAGGTCCCCTAATCTTGAAGCTTATATTTTCCTAAATCCAGAATCAAGAGAACTTTTCTAAGCATGAGATATCAAATAGTAAATTTCAAAGTCTCAGATTTTTTTAATTTTTTTCTTCTGTGATCTCGAAAACAATGTCTATGTGTGAATCATCTTGATACTCTTGGAGTTCTTCACAAGACTTCTTTATGATTTTTTCATTTTTTTTTTTTTTTTTTTTCTTTATTTTAGAGATTTTTAGCCTGAGGCTAGTTCATCTCTTATGATTTTTTCATGAATTTTCATAGAATCATCTCAAAATTACGTCAGAGTTCGTCTTAGAACTCTCTCTGGTATTTCCTTACAATTCGCTCACTGGAACAAGATTAGCCTGCTATACCGCTTGAAGGGACCGAGATAACCATAGGCACATTGAAAAAAGTCGTCACATATCGAGATATGCACGGAGATGAAAAACTACTCAAAATTAAGTACTTTTCCCTCAATTCCCGAGTTTAGCCCAATAACCCAAATTTGAGTAAATCTCATATAGTAGTCACCGATAAACCGACATGAATGATCATACAAATTACAAAGAAATTTCTGATCAAAGAACACAACTGACATCTGTCGCCGTGTTCGCGGAAAATATTTATCCTAGCCACGAAAACGCGTACAAAATTTATGAGTTGGTTCGTGTCTAATCTATTTCGAACAAATTATTTTTATCTAGATAAAAAATTTCTATGGGTTTGACAGATGGGATCGCTGCAATTTGAATCGGCCGTTATGGATTCAAGAGCTAAGTTCAAGTTTCATGTCGGTGTGTCGGTGGTAATAGCAACAGGGTGAATCGATTAGCTTGGGACCTGTGTGGGTGCAAAGCGCGCCCAATGCTTCTCTGTGCAGTGTGCTGAACATTCAGCACTATCGCAGGGACTCGTAGTAAGCCATGATGAGTGTTGTGAGGACAACGAACTGGACACTGCATTTTGCTCCCTCTCAATCATCAACCACCGTGGAGGTAAGACGTTCGGCGATATCGGGCAGATACCTTTCCGGCTGATGGTCAGTTATCCACAATGGCGATCCTGCCAGGAGTTGCAACAACCATCCTTTGCTGCAACGCAAAAATCAGAACCTCGATTAGAAGCCGGAAAGGAATCTACCAAAATTTTCAACGCAACACAATAAAAAAGACCTATATATAAAAATAAAGTGAGGTTAGATTGAGCGGATTAGAAAAATCGCGCTTCGATTTTTTTTATGCATAAAACGCAAATCTATTAAGATTGTGCATAAGATGAGCGGATCAGATAGATCGCGCATTGGGGAAGCGGACATAAAAAGTCGCGCAAGCGGATCAAAACGTCGCGCATTTCAAAAGCGGATCGAAAAGGTCGCGCATTGTTGAAATGATGACAGGTTCTTAGCAGCGGATCTTACGATCGCGCATCGGACACATTGTGCATTAATAGAGCAGATTAAAAAAATCGCGCTGCGGATCTTATCATCGCGTGGACCCGAGAGCAGATCCTAGAAATATGACTGAGAGCAACCTAAAGTAATACAAGTATCTTAACGAAAATAAAATGGCGAATGATGGAAGGTATGTTCGAGTGGTTGACGAACCAAGCGGCTGCGTTGAGGAAGATGTTCAAATCGATAACCATTTCGACTCTGAGATGATTTCTAGTAGCGACAGCAGCAGCATCTCAGAGAGTGATGCTAGTGACTCCGATACCGATACACACGATGACAAAAAAAATTGGACTCGGATAGTACATCTACTTATTCATCGAGATCGCCATCGGTTAGCCCATCTATCCCTGAAGCAATCCCCACCGAAAACGCAAGCTAGGACACAGTGGAACACACCAGTAACGCCGAACGTATCGACCGTATGAAGAAGATACTCGCGGGTATAAATGACGCCCTGAGCCGTTTTCAGTCAAATTCTGGACCGACGATGACTGGAAATGCTGATAACAGCTGGAACCTCTCTAGCGATGTAAACGCTTGTGCAAGTGTCGGTAGAAGTTCATCCTCCAGCATCCGCTGGGACCACATGAAACCGTTCCCAAGTGGCATCGCCACCAATAAAATGTGGGAGGAATGGAATCGTTACTTAGAAAACTTCGAGATAGGTGCTTCGCTCGGTAACGTTAATAATCCAATAAAGAGGACTCAATTACTATTCCTCTCAATGGGCGACGAACTGCAAGGAATCGTGAAAGCCGCAAAGCTTCGCCCAAGCTTGACAAACCCGGACTGCTACCAAGTCTTCGTTACGAACATCAAAACCTACCCTACGGTCGATGACGGACACGGCAGCAGAGCACGAGGCTTTCTCTAGAATGAAGCAGGAAAATGGTGAATCAGCGGTCGCTTTTCACGCTCGGTTGATGTGTAAAGTACGGTCGTGCAACTACAGCGTTCACGACGAGGACAGATTCGTGCGTGCACAGTTATTAAGTGGACTAAGGAACAGAGACCAAGCGGGTTCGATTCCCGGTCGGGTCGAGGGAATCTTTCGGGTTGGAAATTTTCTCGACTCCCTGGGCACACAATATACAAATTCATGCATTGGTATTGGCATCGAAAGCTCTCAATTAATAACTGTGGAAGAGCATTTAGTAGAACACCACAACCTGACTGAGTTTTTGGTAGGGAACATATGATTTGACGTTTGGGTTGTGTCGTTTGACGTGTAAACGTTCAAATTTGAATGTTTACACGTCAAACGACACAAGCCAAACTTCAAATCTTATGTTCCCTAGCAGAAACTCAGCCAGATTGTGGTGGCCATAAGCGAACGTAAAATACTGGATATTGGAAGTATTATACGCAGGCTGGATGGAAATTATGACGTAATGCTAATTTTCACGAATTTTATATGCAGTCTGTCAACATTATCATCATCATGCAGTGGCGACATCTGCGTCGAGCTTTTACGGCAATCTCCCAATACCTTTTGGCAATTATTTTTTGTCTTTATTAGAGAGATTTTTAGCCGTTGGTTAGTTCATCTCTATAAAATAGGGGTCCCAAAGTGGGGTTTCGCATGCAAATTTTGTTACGAACTTGGCTTTCAATTCACATGTACTGAAATAGAAGCAATTAAAACAGATTCCAGTAAAAGACTAACAATACAGGCAACGAAAAAAAAAATGCAATCTGGTACATCAAAGTCATGTAGGGTTCTGAAAGAGATCGGAGCTTCACCGTAGGAGGGGTAATCCCCCGTCTCGTCAGCCAAAAGAAAGCTAAATGTAGCCCAGCGTCCTTGAGGAAATAAATAACTGTCGCTAAAGTGGAAGGTTAGTCGCCCAGTATGTCCCTAATCATGCTGGGAAGTGCGTACTGCTCGCGTAGATGTTGGTATTGCGGACACAGGCATAGGATGTGTTCCACCGATGCAGTGGTTCCGCAAACGTAGCACATTCTGTGGGACTGTGTCCCACCAAAACTATGTGAGATCCTTGGGATTGGCACCACTCTGCTTCCCACATTTTGCTGACTATCCATCGCTTTATGTCCTGTAGGGACACTTCGTCGGTGTAACGGGGGCTAGCTGGTCCAGACCCTGCCAGGCTGTAGTCTTCGCTATTTCCTGGGATACCGCAGGGCCCAGGGATCCAGGTGAACACCGTGTTCGGGGGTGTGGCCTCCACGATACCCTGTATCCAGAGGTGAGTCGGTGTCTCAGATGTAAGGGCTTCCCTAATAAACAAATACCATAAACGAACCATAACCCAATTGAACTTTTTCACAAATGGTTTGGATGATACCCCAAACACGTCGTTAAGCAAAATAACCATAACAAATTTATTAGGGTTTTATCAACAATCAATACGGAACTAACGATTTTAAATTGGCTCACTACTTGACTAGCCTATTGGTCCCAAGCAAACGATTAACGTACCCCATTTTAGTCGACATTCTAGTACTACACAATGTTTGTTTTGATTCGCTATGAAAGTTTGACAGATAAAATGAGGGGTTAGTGGATTTTCCTATGTTTCGAGGGGTGAATCGATTAGCTTGGGACCGAAGAGAGTACCAGAGCTGAGCCAAAAAGTTGAGCACGTTATTTCGGGACCTTCTAGTCTTAGAGTTACCTCTATGGTTATATCATAGAGGTAACTCTAAGACCACTGGGTCCCGAAGAAAATCATTATTATTTTTGGCTCACTCAGTACCAGAACAACGGTCCCAAGCAGTCCCAAGCTATTTCACTCACCCCTGCATGTTCTGCATGAATCCACACACCCCT